GAAAATAATGAGATCTCTAGTTCAGTAACACTTTTGGGACATGAGAACAAGATTGAGAGTTGTTTGGAACTTAGGGGTGTCTGGAAACGTATGCTCTTCTAAATAGTGGGTCTGACACCCCTTGTTTTGGAAAAGACCGTTGGAAGATTGAACATTAGAGGGAATGACTCAAAGCTCAGTATGGTGACAGTAAATGGAGTCTCATGGCATGACTCTGTTGAAGTCACACTAGAACAACTTTTCTTGGATGGAGGAGACTTCGTGAAAATAAACAAAGAGTACACGAAACCCCACTTATCAAACACCTAACGGATAACACCCAACGGAGGAAGAGTTAAGGACCTTCGAAAAGCTGTAAGCCACAGTTGGCCTTCTGGTTGGCTGGGGTGTTCAGACGTAAACTGGGTTCTGGAAAAACGATTCGCGGGTAGGAGGCAGCCATTCGCTATTAGAACTAATTTCGGCTGGATTATATTAGGGCCGAAACAACGCGTTCATTTGGTGATTAATGCTTCACGTTGTCCTATCTCAGATAGCCAGGGAATACTGAACAATCTTGGAAGATTTATTGATCATGAATTTAAGGAAATGGACGGCCTGGGTGGGGGCATTCTGAAGAGGCCAAAGGGCACTGAAGTTACCCACTCGCTCCTGCTGATGACGGTCACTTTTAGGTAGGATTACCACGGGAGTGTGATCGGCCCGATCCACCAGACAACTACAAAATGGTGAGTCAAAGATTCGAGTGCCTCAGAATACTAGCAGAGTTTCCTACTATAGAGGCAACCAACTCTCAAACTTCTAAGGTTGGTCCAAAGATTAGACATACTATAGGGACGAATGGTCCTCCTTTCTCCACCAAGCCAAGAGGATTGGTTTCAGCCAAACTAAGGATAGCGAAAGCAGAGTTTGACTACATGCTTCAGCTGGGGATTATTCTACCATCAAGTGCTCAGTGGGCTTCACGCTGCATATGGTACCCAAGAAGAATCAGACTTACTGGTGAGCCCGTAGCGACTGCAGAACTCTGAAAAAAGCAAACCGTTCCGGACAGGTACCCATTACCCCATATTCAGGACTTTACTCATAACCTCTACGGTGCGGCAGTATTTTCTAAATTTGACCTGATTCGCGCCTAACATAAGATCCCAGTGGCTTAGGAAGATATACCCACAACAGGCATTACCAATCCATTCGAAACTTATGAATTTATGCGAGTGCTATTTGGTCTTCGGAATGCTGCGCAAACTTTTCAGAGATTCATGGATGACTTTTGTGCAACCTACTGTTTGCTGAGGCTCATATTGGCGACGTACTCATCCCTAACCCGGATATAAACACACATGAAGATCACAAGAAAACTGGAAGAAAACGGCATGACAGTCAATCAAAGTGCTGTTTTGGATCAGGAACAACAGAATTCTCAAGACTTGTCATCGTCAGTACTGGGATCCCATTGTCGCCCAAAGAGGTGGATGACGTCAAGCAGTATCCACTACAGACTCCTCTCATTCAACTCTGAAGTCTCCTAGGGTTGATCAACTTCTACAGACTATTTATGCCTAATTGTGCACAATATGTGCAGCCTTTCATTGATTCTAAAAAGCTTTTAGTCAACAAAAGTGGTAACTGGTGCAATTGTTCAGCTAAAGGATGCACTGGCGAAGACTACAGCTTTAAAGCGTCCTGATACGGATGTATCCTTTGCGCTACTGGTAGATGCATCTGATAAGGCTGTGGGAGCAGCCTTATATCAGCTTGTTGGTAATAGCTAATAACCAGTCAATTCTCTTCTAAGACTCTTAACCCAGCGGAAATGAGGTACCTCGGGCACGGGGTTGCTAGCAACCTACCTAGCCGTTTGTTATAACGGTAGGGGAATTAGATGAGGACGTTGTCGCCTTGTTCTGTCTGCGCCTGATTAATATGCCTATCTGCTTCTGGTACCTTCCGATTCAGCGAACCACGCAAATATCAAAAGACAAAGTCTGGTCTCTGACTGTGTATTGTAGTACAACAACTACGACAAACTACGACAAAGAAACTTATTTAGGAAATGGTATTTATACATTTTTACAACAATACAGACAGCTAACAGTATTTGAAATAATTGGTCGTAATAGTCAATAACAAAATGCGTGGGAAATGATGACATACCACTTAAGCGAGATTAACAGTTGTTAAGATAATTGAACAATAACAAAGTGCGTCAGAATTGATGATATACCACTTATGCGAGATTAACAGTCGTTAAGATAATTGAACACTAACAAAGTGCGTCAGAATTGATGATATACCACTTATGCGAGATTAACAGTCGTTAAAATAATTGAACAATAACAAAGTGTGTGGGATCCTATCACCGTTGAACACTTCCTAGAACACTCACTACCTACACAGATCACAGGCCCCCCACTCACGCGCTCAACACTAAATCTAACAAATACTCACCACCCGGAATTCGGCACTTTGATTTTACGTCACAGTTTGCCAATGATATCAAACACGTGAAGGGGGCAGAGAACTGCATGGCTGATGTACTGTCCATGATACATTTGAATACAGTACAACAAACCACTACAGACTTTAAAGCACTAGCGGAACATTAAACGAATGAAGAGGAATTAAAGCATTTTCTCACTGCAAACAACTCTAGTCTCAAACTAAGGCAATTACCATCTCCTGCAGGTGACAACTTAAAGTAATGTGACACAAGCAAAGATTCTCTTATACCCTTCATGATTAAACTTTTGAGGAAATCCATATTCAACAATCTCCGCTCTTTATCGCACCCTGGAGTAAAAGCTCCGGTCAAAGTAATCTTTGCAAGAAACATTGGCCGAACCTATAAGTGGACGTGAAGTGGGCAAGAGAGTGTATACTACCCCAGAGGGCGAAAGTTAACAGACACACTGGGTCTCCTTTGGGATTATCCTCTCAACCTGATGCTTGTTTCCCTCATGTTCATGAAGATTTGGTGGGTCCCTTACCATACTCTAACGGATTCACTTACCTGTTCACATGCATTGACAAGTTCACTGGGTTCCTGATAGATGCACCACTTGCTGGTGTCACGCGGAAACAGCAGCAAAAGCCCTTCTACAACATTCGCCAGCCATGTCCAGTTTACCTTTAACAGTAACCACTGACAGAAGAGCTCAAATTGAGTCAGAGCTTTTCAATAACTTGTCGAAGTTCCTCAGATTAAAAAGAGTCCGCTGCACAGCATATCACCCTCGAGTTAACTGGGTGACACTACACCTTCTACGACACCTTAAGGCTGTATTGACGCCTCACTCTAACTCTACTGGACAGAATTCCGACCAATGGTAATCACCAATATAACACTAAGAACTGATACTCGATGTTCCGCTGTAAAACGGTATTCGAAAACCATTTTGAAACTACCTGAAGTATTTATTAGTCCTAGTGCTAAAAAGAACAGCTTGGAACGGGTCAAATCCGATGGCAGACTCCGACAATAAATGGCCAAATTAAAGTTTATTACTTCATCAGGACAATCAAGAGTGGTATACATACCAAAGGAATTGGATCCCTGCCCCCAAAGTCTTTGTGTGATATAATAAAACACAAGCACTCCTCAGTTGGCCATACGAAGGACCCTTCGAAGTCGTGATAGGGCATGCAAAGTACTGTGCTATTAAACGAGGTAATATCACGAACAGCGTTAATATTGACTGAATAAATCGGCTTATCTGCACAACGATCTTCCATATGTAGTGATAGGATGGCTGTGACAAACAGTGTTTGATATCGCGGATGGTTAGAATGAAACCAGAAGATTTGAATGGCCTGAGCCTTTAACTCACGAGAAAATTCCAGAAAGATAGCAGAAAGAATAACTGGAGAACTAAATACGACTAAATAAATAAATCCACTCGGCTACTATAAGAGAACACGTAACTTTGTGGCCGGTTTGGAGAATTCGGTAGCATGGAAGAATCCTTTTCTATCATTTACCGGGTGCCAAATAAATTGCCGAAAGCATCCGGGGGACGAATGCTCCAAACATCAGAAGCTGTTGCAGTTCAACCCAAACAACCGCTGCTCTGTGTGCAGAAGAAATAGGTCCAACCACTATTACTCCTATGTCCTGCTGCCGAGTTTGCAAATTCATAAATGCCTTATTACGTTGGCCTTTCTGATATGACCTTCCATCCCGTACATAAAAATTCCCCCACCTCTCGTCACTACACTTGCATTAAATGACCTTAAGTTTTCCTATTTAAACGTAGTTGTTAACTTATATACTGACATACATACAACAAACGTAACGTTACCCGAAATTTTTTCTCTACCTCCGTCCTTGAAATTATCATTCTTCCATTTCGAGTTTATAATCAGTATGAATGGAATCTAGTATGAATATGACTCATGAGGATCCACTGCTAGACATTCGTTTCTGTTCATAACAATTTACTATGGAATATCGGTGTTCAATTTAGTGTTACAATTATACATATTATCGCATACATATATTTGGGACTATAATCTGTTTGCAAATGGCTTTTGGAATTCTGACGTAAATAATTCGATGTTACCTTTAAAACATACCAACTTTGTCAGTGACAATAACTACTTCATTATTATAGGCGTATAACTGCTGAACCTGATGAAGAAGTTATCGGAGAGAACATTCTTTGTTCAGTAATCAGTTTTTTGATTTAGTAAAGTGTCTCAGGAAAAAAATTCGAGTTGTATAAATACAGAAGCAGCAGTAGGCGTGGCACTTCATCTTTGTCTCCTTGACGGATCTGCTGCTACCACGGAATCACATGGCGTAGTCAATGGCTTCTTTTATTTCAATTTTCACATTATTCACACCGTGACGAAGGCAGCCAGCGGACATAATACTTCAAGGAAGAAATAACGTTATTAAACCATAAAAGCTCACTTCAGTGCGTTGTCATTGCAAGATGTTCACTATGGGACAATCTTCTCTTTGAACTTTGAATGAACCATTAATATTTCCTCGACAGTGTCGCGATATTTTGAATTTTGTCGCTTTGGGGCCGCCATTTTTGGGCATTTACTCTTATGGTGGGTTGGCGCTTCACGGATGTATTTAATAGTCATGGTTTTATCGTCCTCGCAGCGTTTCTAGCTGTATTTCACCGTATAAACGTCCAAACCTGGTGAAGGCTATGCCCTTCAGAAGACCTTCGAAGGTCATTTCAGAAGGTCGCCTGGGTTGATGTCCTTGTGGCTGAAAGTTATGCATAGAAATAGCTTGCTTACTCATTTATGTGGTCTTCTTGCTTGCTTTGTTTGATGGGATGCTTCTTGACTTATTTTCTATTTCCAGGAGTTGGATGAAACAATGGCAACACCTGAAGTCACAAGTCCTTCAGACATTCAAGACGATCTGAAAGATGAAAATCTGAAAGCTACTGTGGCTTTAGACAAACTGATTATGGGAGTAACCCCAAAGTCAGTAGTCCCGGTTTCAGCCAGCGATGACCAGGTGCCTTCTACTACCTACGTTACAATTCATCTCCCCGATGGGACGCAGGGATCAACTCTGAGTCAACAGAAGTTACAGGAACTTATAATGCACTTATCTCAGTCTGGTCAAATACAGCTACGAGAAGACAGCAAAATAGTTATCGATGTGAGTTGGCTTTAATCTTACAGATTCAGTGTTCCACGTTATTCTGATACTTGTGATACAGTGGTGGTTTAATTGTGAATTTTTGCAAATGTACATAATTGCATCGTTAACAGATGGTATTTCTCTCATAAATAGTAAGTGGTACTTTTTAAATTCATGCTGCAACTGGGGAACAAATGAAAAAATGTATTGACGGTGCACTATTTACATATTCACATTCCCGTCATAAGTTTTCATCATCTTTGTTTTGAGTGTCAGAATCTATTTGCAGTTGCTAATTGCTGCTGTTACTATCAGATGCCAGTTTGTAGTTTATCTGTTGATTATGTTTTGTAATAATTGGATTTCTTGAGTGTGTAGGTAGTTGACATCACTGAATCTTGAGGTGTTCTACTCACAGTGGTTAGGACTCTCGCCGACCATGCACATGGTCCGGGGTTCGATCCCCTGCCGGCGCACACCCGATATCTATGGTCGGCCTGAATTTGGGCTACCGATATCCATGCTGAAAATTCCACACTTGTACTGAAAATACGGTGTGGAATCAAGCTGTAAATCAAAGAAAAAAAAAGAAAGGCGTTTACAAACGCAACACTGATTTGTTGATGAAAATAGGGTTACTAAATGGTTTTCGGTACCGTAAACAAGTGGTTCGTCGGTAAGTATTTTAAGCAGTCTTTATGAGTTTATGATACACAGGTGCTGTAGGTTAGGAAGATACAGCGAACCATACACCACGAAAAGCACATACTTAGTACTTAAAAAGTCTACTAAATGAAACGTTCCGTTTAGTACAGATAGTCTGAAAATCTATTGGTGTATTTATGATTGATTCAGCCAAATGTTCGTCTTGTATAAGAGACGAAAGCCGTTTGCGCATATATTCCGGTAGTATTAGTGTGACAAAAAAAATTCATTGGTGACTGATTGACTTGAGACAAATTCTCTGAGGGGCCAAATCGGGAAATACACCATACTAAGTTACCGCTTGCAAATCGTTCAGTACACACAAAGTATGTATGTTGCGAACTTACTTAAGATAATTACTTTTTCCAGGTAGCATAAAATTATTTGGTGACTCAGAAATAAAGCACAAGTGTGGTCCAGATATGTGTAATATGTAAATGATTGAAAAATTAACTTGAATGTTTATGATTACCAGTCAGACTGTTCACGTTTGAATGCATATTTCTATCTGCTTTATCATCACATATCAGGGGTTCACTTCAATACTAATCATCCTCTTCTGCTGTAGATAAAATTTAAAGTTCTTCAATGTCCACAGGCATTTTCCTAGATAACTGAACTACTTTTTTTTACTTCATCCTGACTTGGGATACATTGTGGTTTTTTACATTGCCGTAGGTTTTGGAGGAAGTGTAGGCTTTCACTGGACTGAAGTGAGTTTACAACTTACTGATCTCGGTTAAAGCTTTATTACGCGGATTGGATATCTCGTGTACCAGACCATGGGCCACACGTAGTCTGTAAGGGCTGATAATAAAACCTAGTTGCCCAGTCTGAGATGGGCGGATAGGGATTAGGACCAGCGTTTCATTGACCTAAAGCATAGCGTTTTAGCCAGTGACCCAATTCCCTACAGTGTAACCCTACTGCTTTTCAAGAACATAGTTTTCCTCTATTCTAGTGAGAATTCCTTTGTTACTGCAAATAAAATCACTTGTAAATGACGGTCTCAGAGTGCTTGGAACGACTCGAAATTTGTTTCAGTGGTGATAATTTATGTTCATCTTCATGGTCTGTAGCTGTTAGCTAATTCTTAAATCTTTCTGATTACTTTCATTCTCAGTCCTAATCCTAACTATACATATGTTAAGCATTATAACTGTAACCGTTACGCTATCTTATATCTATCCTTTCTGTGCTTGTTAGCTTTACGGTAAGAATTATTGGCTTACAGTCATCGAATTCATGATAACTTAGGCTGCACAACAGTATTTGAAGCCATTAACTGTTTGTGACATTTTAAACGTATGCATTTGTGTGTTCCTCGCATATATATATATATATATATATATATATACTAATTCATGATGTAATTTTCAAATGGTTGTACACAATTTATGTCCGAGACTAATAATTCTGTGCTAAGTGTTGTTCTGATCAACCTTTACTCAGCCTAATTTTAAATATGCGTTACTTAAGAGTGTTTTCTGGTCTTAATCCCCATAATTCTAGCTCAAATTCACCGGTAAGTCAGGTGGTCAAACCGTCCAACCGAAACTGGAAAACCCACTACAACAGTCTTCTGTATCCAATTGTACTCCACAAATACAGACCATGGCTTCAAGTAACCCTCACCGTGTGTTGCACGTTGGTAGCGTAAGTTTCATGAAAAAGGCATTTAAAATATTAACCGATAAAGTAGTGTGCCTGGTTTGTTGTTTGTTTCATCTTCTGGTACAAATCTTTTCAAAGTATTGATTTCCAAATATTAGAACAGCGTAGAATATGCCTTCTTATCAGCTACCTTATAAACCTTCCCTTTTAGTTTTGTTTTCTGTGTAATCAGCTGTTTGTGTAAAGACTATATTCTGGTCTCTTACTTTTAGTGTTACTCATAGCTATTGTAGGAAATACTAAAAAGACAGTTGCAGCGAAGAGAATCTTCTTTTCAACGAAATCATCAGCTGTACTGTACATTCGTGTATTTACAGTAAATGCGTGAGAAAGTTCCAGAACTGTGTTCGGTCAAGGGTCAAATTAATAAAATTACTATGTGTAATAAACTAAAAGATCAGATAAAAACGTAGTAGGATCATAATTACTGAGAAACTGGGCCTTTTTTGTATTTAAGGATTAAAGGTGGAAGTAATAACAGAGTAGACAGGAAGTTCAGATGAAATACGTAGTAGTGCAGGCAGGGGTTAGAAACATAAAAATAAAAGAAGTAAGCGGGAAGACTGGATGAGAAAGATAACAGGATAATCACTATTGAGAGAGATGGCCATGGTAGAGAATGGTTGAGCATATTTCTTTTAAATGCATAGCATGGGCTTGAACTTTTGGATCGCTAATGCCTTATCTATGCCTAGATGCCTTAATTTCAATCCTTTTCGAGAGGTTTAATCTGGTCTTGTTTATGACTTCGGTGGACTTTTCAAATGGAGCCGGATGTCCTGAGTTCACTAGATGTTTTGTTATCGAACTATATACACATTCGTGTTCTCCCTTTGCTAACCAGACTGGATAGTATTCCCAAGCGCCTTTTACAGGCTATTGTTGATTAAACAGTAGTTCGAATTCCGCCACCATAGATTTCTCGCCCGCCCCCACACACACCTCAGTTGTCATCCCTATGCGTTAAGATGCTTTGTCAATCACGATTGTTTTATACACCCTCACAAAATTCCATTTAGACTTTTAGAGTAGACTAAAGCTGTTACACAGTATGTAGACCTTTGGATAAATGATCCTTGTTACCTATTGGCTTGAACATAATATGACCCACCCTAACTGTTCTTTTTTTTACAAATTTTCTATTATTTCAAAATAAGATGCCTTCTTCAGATATTGTTGCAGGATGATATTAGAGCTCAAGCGCTTAAACCAGAAATAAATCGTCTTCTTAGGTGCTAATTCATCGTTTGAAAGTAAATTTAAAACAAAATATATCCTCAAACAAACAGCTTTTATCTGGATTTCATTTATGGTGTCTTCTGGAATGATAAAAATGGGCGACGAATCAGTGTGCTGAATAGTAAGGTCCAAAGACAATAGTGACAGCAAAAATCAAGTTCTAGAAATCGCTCAGTCAGTATACATATGATAAGAATATAGATAATTAAAGTGATGTACTAAGGGGGTAGAGTTGAAGTGGATGAATTACAAAACTTTTATAGATTATTAAATAAGTGAACTCTGGTGTAAAGATTTTAAAATTGTGGGTTGTGTTGTCTAAAAAATTAACAATGTGATGACGGTAACAGTAAAGACGGCAAAGATGAAGTGAAGTAGAATAAATTCAAGTGGTAAATTATAATAAAATAAAAGAGCATTATTATGACCAAGGTAAAGAAAGGGGTTTAACAAAACGTTTTGGAACATATAATTTGGGTTTCTGTCCATGTTATGGCTAGAGCTTCGGCTATGCATAAGTGGAGAAAACGTAAGCTTTTGGAATGGTTGGATTTGGTCTTGTCAATAACGTGGGGTTGAATGACCTGACTCTAGAAGGTGTTCACAAATTGAAGACTTCGCCGTCCTATGCTCACCCTTCATTAACCAAACAGCTACGCGTTTACGGAGAACACACTTACAACGTCCAATGTAGTCAGCTCCACACAAGCATGTGCATTAGTATGTGCACATATAGGTGGACATAAGCGGTAGTATATTTTTAACGCACTATCAAATCATATTTCGACTGGTAATTACTAAATGTAAGCCAGCTGCTCAAAAAGAGCGTTTAATACATTTAGCTAAACGACTTTTAATCAATTCAGCAACAGTGTCACCTTTGAATGCCTAACTCATAAACAATATCTTCATTGGCACTGTGATTTCACTGGGGATGGTTTCTTTGGTGTTTCTGTCAACAAACCGTCTAGGATATCCATTATTTAAGAGTGTGCAAAGTTCTTCTAGTTCTATGTCAACGGCATCTATTGAGCAAATTTCCCGAATTCTGGAGCATAGAGAACGGACAAGATTTCCCCACCTACCTAGAGGTACCCAACTGTTGAAGTTAATGTCCTGTCCTGTGAATGTTGGTTTTCGATAAATCGACTTTTTTAACGTGCTACCCTCTCTTCTATCTAACATCACATCTAAGAAGTGAAAAGCGTTGGTGGGTGAGAACCATTATATTTTTCAATAATATAAATACGACTGTACAGCTTGAAAATGAAATCGTTAAAAAGAAATATTTCTTCACTGAACAAAAAACTGTGTTTTTCCTTATGAATTAATGGGTATATTTCACGATTTGAAAAATCAAGTTGTTTATTTTAAACACAGCATTTTTCCTATTTTTGGTTTCACACAACTGGGTTTTAATAAGTCTATGAATATTTTTGTACTTTAGCTTTCACATTGTGCTGTTTCAAGTGGAAATTATGCTTTTTTTGTGTGCCAATATGCGTCAAGGATTAAGTGCATAATGCTATACTATGCCTAGCCCTATTATTTAGGTGTGGGACATTGTTATTGAGCAAATGGTATAGTTTTTATATCACAAGTCATTTTAATGTCATTAGTCTTATGTGTCAAATCACAATTTGATTGTCTCAGTTAGCGTCGGTGGTTCAGTGATAGAATACTCGCCAACCATCCATGTGGTTCGGCATTCGTTCCCTGGTCTACGCACACTCCTAAACCCTGCTTAGCTAGTAGTAATCCTGGTAATGAGGAAAGGTTGGGCGTGAGGCTAGCAACGCCACCCCTTAGAAGAACAAACACCACTGCTATTGAAACTTAAAGACTCAAACTTGAAGCTCTATTTTCCACTTGGAACGCAAAGGAATAAAATACTAAGAGTTTTTTGTGTAGCACCAATATAAAGCCAATATTGAGATTAAGACTAAAGTACCAGGTATAAGTGTTTCACTCAACAGGAATGCCCCAACCTTTGATATATGTTGTTCTAGGATTTCATCATGAGCTGACATCGGTTAGAGAACCATTGGGGAACCTGGGAGTACTGGACGGCCGTTTCGTCCTAGTTTGGGACTTTTCTGCAGTACGCACTCACCGAGGTTCGAATCCGGGACCTTCTGGTTTTCCAATGGTTCTCTAACCAACGTCAACACATGATGAAATCCTGTAACCAGTCAATCAAATCCCTACAAACCAATACTTGAATATATTGTTCCACTCGACATACTGTTTAAATCGAATAATCGTTGACCGAAATAAAACTGAAATTGTCACACAAAACAAACAGACGATTAAGCAATGACTGTTAGTTTGAATCCCTTAGTGGACTGCAGATTTCAGTGACTGGAAAATTAGTGTGGCGTCTCACAACAGGGATCAAAATGGTCCAAATACATAAGTACCATGTCATGTACACTTTCAAATATTTATTATCTCTCTGCGTCTTTAGATATCCCTATCGTCTTTCCTCTTTTAGGAGTTTTTATTAATTCTAAGTTTTTCTCTCCAGTTACAGTGCCTTAAAATCGCTTTTAACTGATATACTAGGCGAAGTTTGTCAGGTTTCACACTGGTTATATCTATTTGTAAATTTTAACCAAAATACTCACATTCTCTCATTGTACAGACACTCTGTGGCTTCCATTCTTGCCATCACGCGTCAATATGACTTCAATTGAGTGCTACCCGGGGATTTTCACCGAGCTCCTCTGTATATTTGAAGGGTTGGTTATATTCGCCGTCTTCGTATAATGAGGATATGCTTGGGTTGCTTGTGACCGCTACGTACTCATCTTTGACCTATTGATCACCAATTCTAGCTGAACCATTTAAGACTTGGATTGTTAGATGTTATGACTAGCTGTTAGTTCAAAGGTTAATAGGAAAAAGCTGTCTATACTTTTTAAACTGCATTATATTACACTAGAAGATTGTTGAAGGAAGACTGGAAATGATAAAACTAACTCCGATAAATTCAGAAGGAGACCATACATTCATGTTTGATTATCGTTCAACTTAAGCTGTGACACCACTATGAATGCTTAAGTAAGGCATTGGCAGAAGACTCTGGAGATCATATGAGGGGCTAGTCTCCATTTTCCTAAGAGTTATAAAATAATCAGAGATATAATAAGGTGAAAGGAGTCGTGCATTTGTCCAGAGTGGTCCAACTAGTAATGTTGAGCTGTCATGTTTCAACAACTACTATTAGACCGTCATTGTCTTATAAATTTCATTATTTTCACAATTAACAAAACCGCAACATTGATTGCACACACCTGATTTCACTGATACTATCAAACTAATCCCTAATGGAAGATAAGTAAACCCATGAAGTGTTATGTAAGTCATTTTAGTGGATTGTTGTAAGTAATAAACTGAGAGCATTTATTCGCAGTTTTTGGGTTTCAGTTGTTTCATAAGAATGAAAATGGTTCTGTTGTGATGATCTCTATGAGAATCTGTTTTTTTGGCCGATTATGCTACTTATTGATTTTTGTCTGGATAAAATTTTTCATGGTTCCTAAAGTAGTCATTACTAACAACTAAGATATCTGTGTGTTTTGTACTCCCTTTTTATCCTTATTGAGATTTGCATGTGACTAATTTTTTGCTCCTAAATTTTAAAATAATTTTTCTTACTACTCGTAAGTAATAAGGGTTAGAGTGCATCAAAATAATCTGAAAAATGAAAGCATTCAAATTTTGCACTCTTTTGTTCGCAGTATTTGTGACTGTAAACACTGTATCATATTTCTTGTGATTTTAATCTCAAAGCACACATTAAAATTGTCCTCAGACATGTGTGTCTGTATATGTGCTGGTATTTCGACTGTTCTACCGCGAATTCATGGGTCATTCGATTCTGTTCCTTTAGATCCTGGATTCGACGCCTACTGATGGTTTCATGGATGTGTACTGCCGAAGAGCTCCAAAGCAGGACAAAACAACTGTCTAGTACTCCGTTTCCACTTTAACGTAGTACCCTATCCTAATTTCTTGTATTGCATGGAGGTGATTCAAAGCCCAAAACTTATTTTTCTTGTGGAGTTGTGGCCTATTGGCTTAGGTACTCGACTTTCAGCTAATGGTTCCCACCAGGGTTCGAGTCCCGGCCCACCTATTTCAACCTAAGAAACTGGGTAGCATCATTAGCATTTACAGAATATTCTGCGGCTTATAGCCTAGTAATGAGTAACTGAGGTCTAACTCATTTTCTTACAGTTTAATGGAATTATAATTGACTCATACTCTATCGGAAAAAGTCCATAAAGATAATTTGAAATACTGCAGGTATTTTTCCCTCAACAATATAAAACCAAAGTTGTTTGCAATATTAATGTGCCATTTATTTATTATTTCATCTCAATTTTAGCCGGGTTCTGATGGAATTCAAATTGTGCGTACTATGCCTTCTTTTGTCAGCTCTAGTACTCAGATAATTTCATTTCCGACAGTTGCAACACAACAAACAGTAGCCACTCATTCCAGTAATCCTAGACAGCATATTCAACAGCAGCCTACATACATACTTGTTCCAGCAGCCCAACTAGCAAGTGGTACAGAAAATCACGTGTATGCAAGCACACCTATACGTGGTGTTACAACAGGTTTGTGAAATTTTAATTTTTGATTTACACAACTTCCTAATGTAAGTCAGACTTTACTGCTTACATGTAAGATTAGCGTTCACTTGTGCCATTCTCCACGTGTAGAGCATGCAGGCCTCATTAACCGCTTAGGTTTATAGTCATTAGTCTTGAACTAAACATCATTAGACTACGACAGAAACTGTTATAAATGTTTCTTCTTGTTGATGATATATATAAGTCGTAATTTTTTCTTCTGTGGCGATGTGACTCACTGGCTTAAGCGTGCTTGGCTCTCAGTCAGTGGGTCCCGGGTTCGAAGCCCTCTCCACCTGCCTCAGCATGGACAACTGCGTAGTATCACCAGCTCTCACGCAATAAAAGTTTAGCTCGTAGTCTGGGACATGAAAGACAGTTCAGGGATCTGAGTTCAAAAAAATTATTTCTACCACATGCTTGCTCCGTTTTTTTTTCATCGGTCAATTAGAGGCGGGGAAAGTTTATAAATCCTTGTAGTTGTTGAAAAGAGATGTATCCAGTTTTTAGCGGCTAGAGATCACTCTGTTTATCATGATTCATGGAAACTGAAAAAAATAAGAAATTTGGATGATTTGAGCTGTTATGGTTAGGCAGCAACAATAACAATAATAAGAGGAAAGTGTCGGGCTAAATATTTAAGGCTTTTTGACTTAATTCGGATTGGCGGCTGTTCGGAAGGTGGGGAGTTCCATTCACCAGTCAAGTCAGTAAGGCTTGTCTGCAATCTTGGAGGAACTCATATCCCTTCTCAGATTCTAACCCGTGCCATCCGGTAGTGCAGTCAGAGATGTCACCATTGAGTTATTCAGGCTCGTGATCGATGTCCTGTAGGGTCAATGTGGTATATCTATTGAAGAAAGTAAGAATCAGGCTCTGAGCTGATAATTTATGCTACTCAGGTTTTAGGCATATGATAATTTTTTCTTTCTTTAGAAAAATAAAGCATTTCTTAAATAACCAAATTGTAGAATTGTGACTTATCACGAGATTACACATCATACTTCATTTAGGTTTTGTAAACTAAATTTAATAAGTAAATAACCATCTTTGGTTTTCAGGGTATAAAATGCTTCGTAACTCTAGATTAACTATTAATACTAATTCTACAAAAAATACAAATACTGTTAATTTAGGTTCAACAGATCGCAGCATTATTCTACTCCAACAACCAGTCGGTGGAACCGGTATTCACCTTGGCTCAACAAACACAATTGTTTCTGGTTCAGGCGGAGCAGGCGGTGGAACCACTTTGGTCCCTTTACGACCATTAAACGTTTCTGGAGGCGGAAATGGTTTAGTAACCAGTGGTGGTACAACTCTAGTCAGTACGGGTTCAAATCGTCTAATTGGTTCTAATGTTGGCGTTGATTTATTTTCAAATAATAACTCCGTGGGGTCACGGTCATCACAAAGTCAGTCTAGTTCAGTCGGTCTGGTCACAATCTCCGCGAATGCAGCTGCGTCTGGGTCCTCATCATCTGGAACTCCTCAGGTATTATTGTCCCTGTTGTTTATTTGAATAGGATTGTGTTTTTAGCATTGAGCATAATATTGTTCTCCTAAATTCCCTGGCACCTCTCTGTGTCTGTTATCAGTGCTTTTCACAGACCATCATGTTAGGTCTCAAATAGCTTTTGAAAATACTCGTGTTTGTTTCCATCAAAGTGGGTTTTCAGACGCTGAAAGATTATGAAAATCCTGTGTGTGAAAAGTACATTTGTGGTATTGCGATTATATTCCGTAAACTGGAGTGGGTGAGAGTGCATTTTATCAGCCTATATTGTCAATACATCTTCATAAACCAAGAACAACAGTTTGTGCAGAATAAGATATAGTACCATTATTTATATCATTGGCTTCTCATCAGGTGAGTACACCTTGAAGAAATTATTACATTTATGTACAGAAGAGTTTTAACACACTTGTAAATTTTACATGTCAGTTGACAGGAGGCTCCAGATTTAATAAACAGCTCTCAGATCCACTGTGATTTGTTTGGCATTTGAACTTTCACATCTTCCTTACTTGTTGATAAATTTTTGAGGGTAACTGTTGTTTTTCAACATCTTTTCGAGAATCAGAAATTCTTCCTCTAATTTTTCGGTTGAATTTATTTTCTGTAAAACTCTGTAAAACAGAGTTTTGACTAGTGCTCGTTTATAGCTATTTGTACAAAAACTATTAAAATGTAATTATTGTCCATTCCATATCTAGAGACTAAAATCTTCCAGGCTTCTTTGCATAGCAATGTCAAGGAAACGAAAATTTCCATTATTCTCATGTGCCATAGTGAATCCAGTATTTGTATGTGCGTCGTTTAATAATTGGAGCAGAGAAGAAGCATGACTTTCATTGTTTGCACACTACAAATGCGTCATCGACAATAAGGTGTTTCGTCGATTGCAGACTTTCAACCTTGTTCCTCTCAAGGTTGGACGTGAAGATGTCTGTTAAATCTTGACACTTTTTTAAGTTCTCGTTATTGAGTGTAGAATGTAACAGGCTGAGCAATTATGTTATATAGAGCAACTAACAATTAATCACACAAGATGGCAGTATGTTCTGTTTATTGAATGAACTATTGAATAGCGTTATATATCAATCAGGAACCACTTGTTTACTTGCAGCCTTCCACTAAGCGCTTCTATTTCAAGTTCGATGAGTAATGCAATTGATATATGATCTGCATCTTTAGTGTGGGTTTAGCTTATCACTTTGCATAGTTCTTCGTTAGTTAACTGTTATGTTATTCCAACTAGATGAATTTTCTTTTCATTTCCTGGTGTTACGTAATGTACTTTTCTGCTCCTCACACGACTTGCCCCCTGTCACTCTGAGACGCACACCTCGTCGTTTTCCCTTCGGGTTCCACCCAAGGGCCTGCTTGGCTGGTAATGTCACTCAACGATCTCCTCAGCGTGTGTCCGATCCAACTCCATTTACTTCGGCATATTTATTGGGCAATAGGTTCCTATTTGGTTCGCTGACTGCCAGAACTCCCTGTTGATAATTCTTTCTGGCCTGGCCATCTGATCTTCAGTATGGAGTGATGTTGGCTGTGCTGATAAAAGTCTGTAGTCTATGACTCCCTCAGTCTCTGAACATTAATGTTGAAAGTCTGAGTCCTCTTCTTTATACTGCTAACTGCGGTAGATTTCCAGACTAATTTCAGATTAATGAAGGTTTGTCTTGCCTTTCCGTGTACCTATGAGAGTTCGTTTAAGAGTAAACCTGCTATATCCATTGTTGAGCAGTTGTAAGGAAAAAAGTTGAAAAGTCTGGGAGTACATTTCTCAGACTATTAGTTTTACTCAATTTAGACTCAGTTTTTGTCGTAAACTCCAATTATTGTAATCTGTGAACAAGAGCCTAAGCCTTTTTAATCTGTAAGACCTCGCCATTGAAAGTGGAAGATGTGAAAAGCCTGGCTAGTTGTCTTCGATCATAGGTGCCTGCGTTCTATCTCCCGTGTGAAGTGGTATAATAAGGTGAGCAATATTGAGGTTAGGCGTCGAGGAGGGAAAATCAATCGACGAGACTCTGAAGTTACACTGGATTGAGAAGGTTAGAACATGTGTTACGTATGCCTAGTCATCGCCTTCCTTGACAGGCAATGTTAGCTGCTGACATAGGATGCATCAGGTTGGGAAAGAGCTAGTGGTGGTCAAACCAAAACATGGCTTCATCAATCAATGAAATCCACAACAATTAGTTTAAGCCAGCCAGCCACGTAGGGAGGTGTAGATTGGCTTCCTGCTTGGTGTCCTTGGGATGGTAAGAACCAATGGCTGGAGACAGTTGGTGATATGGCTCAAAATCGTTCTCAATGGCGCAAATGCATCCACTCCTTCGGACTTATTATACCCAATAAAACTATATTGTTCTTCGATATTACTATTCTTTTTGCCTCATATCTCTGTTTACTGTCTCTATTTCGCGTTTCTTTTTTAATTTCTTCTCTGGCTTTGTGTGCTGAGTGAAGTGTGGAGACTCGAGCTGCTCCACATCAGTGCAAAGTTCTATGTTGAAATCAGTCAGTCAGCCTAAGCGTATGAATAATTATTGACAATCTGCAGTCTTATATTTAATTATTATTGGGAATTAAAAGACAGTTGCAGCGAAGAAAATTTTCTTTTCGACGAAGTCATCATCTAGGCTGTACATTCGTGTATTTATATCAAATGGATGGGAAAGTTCCAGAATAATTTCTGGTTAGGGGTTGAATTAATAAAAATTACAATTAGGAATTAGAATGCCATAATAAACAGGGGGACGGGTAAAACTCAAACAAAGTAGCATAATAACTAAGACGATTGACATTGTGCAATTGGGAGTTAGAAATGTAGAAATAACAAAATATACAGGATGTTTAGATAAAAAGCTAATGTGATGAATAATTGTTATGCAATCAGGGATTAAATATGTAGAAATAGTAAAATGACAAAATAAACAGGAAGTGTGGATATGAAAATATGGTAGTGTAGACAGGGATTAAGAAAAACTTAAAATAACATGAATAAACAGGAAGTTTAGATAAGAAAGGCGATGGGATGGTCATTATTAAAAAATTTACCTGTTTATGATGGCCATGGCAGGGACAGGGGTTGGACGTATTTCTTTTGGATACAAAGAGTGGGTTTGAGTTTTTGGTTAGCTAACGCCTCAGCTATGCCCAGATGTCTTGATTTCACTCCCTTTGATAGGTTCGATTGAATCTTGTATATTACTTTGAAGGATTTTTCGAAAGGCGCTGAATGTCCTGAGTTGACAAGATGTCCTGTCACTGAACTGTATACACGTTTTTGGTCTCCTTTTACTAGCCAGGCTGGGTAGTGTTAATTATTATTACTTAATATTTTTTTTATAATTTGTAGCGTGAATCAACCTGGCAGCAGTATGTTAAACAGTTTACTAAACTTGGCCCCTGTCCAATTTGTGGTGATAAAATCTCCGGTTATCATTATGGTATATTCTGTTGTGAATCCTGTAAAGGCTTTTTCAAGCGTACTGTTCAAAATGCCAAAAGATATGCTTGTCATCGTCCTAATGCAGCTTCACGATGTGATATAAATATAAATACACGCAAAAAATGCCCTGCTTGTCGTTTCCTAAAATGCGTTGATAAAGGAATGCGTATCGAAGGTGAGTGTAAATCTTATTTTGGAGTATTCACCATGAACTTGAATTAGGGTTATGCGATATAAGAATAGGATTTTGGTCAGTATGGTGACGTATAATAGAATGATTTTATTTGGTAAAAAAATGCAGTGGTACAGTGTAGAGTCTTCTGAACACCTTGAGCAGTAGTCTTCGAATGTTTGACATGTGATTCGCTCATGTTAAATAGTAAGATGATTCTACAGGACTGGACTACATTGACTCCTAGCTTAAAGATAGAGAGTTAAGTGATAAAGCTTGTTGACCACTTCGCTTATTTGCGAAGTTGCATTAACCCCCCCCCCCCCAACGGACTGTTTGCTGACAAAATTTCAGTACAGATACAAAGAGTTCGTGTGGCATTTTCAACCCACACCATCTCTGGCACAGATGTGATATCCCACTATGGATCAAGCGACGTGTATAATGCACAGCAGTTCTCTCGATGCGCCCTTTATGGTTGTGAGACATGGACATTAAAAGTGGAAGATATGAAAAGGCTAGCTGTCTTTGATCATGGATGTCTTCATCTATCTCCCTCGTTAGATGGTATAATAGAGTGAGTAATATTGAAGTTGCGTCGGTGACACAGCGGTAGAATGCTCGCCAACCACGCATGTGGTTCTCAGTTCAATCCCCGGTCGACGACGCACTCCTTTACCTCGCTAAGCCAAATAATAAGACTGGTAAAGAGGGAAGTTTGGGCATGAGGCTAGCAACCCCATCTTGTAAAAATGAACACCACTGTTACCGAAACTTCAAAGCCTTAGCTTCGATTAGGAACGTAAAGGAATAAAATAAGTAATAAATAATATTGAGGTTAGGCGTTGAGTGCTAGGTAAAGAGGGTAAGTTCATTGACGAGTTTGTGCAGTTACATCGGATAAAATGGCTAGGATATGTGTTAAACACGCCTAGTCATCACCTTTCTCGATGGACAATGTTAGTTGATATAGGATCAGGTTGGAAAATTGTTATAGGTAGTTAAATCAAAGCCTGGAATGAGTCCATGAAATCGTTGACAGTCAGTTTGAGCCAGCCATGTGGGGAGATGTAGGCTTCCTGGTTGCAGTTGTAGGGATTCTAAGAACAAAATGGCTGGAGACTATTGGAGATACGGCTCAAAATTGTTACCCATTAAGCCCTAATGTTTCTCCATATATTGCTGTTCTCTCACCCACAATTTTCTGCTTTTAAGTGCCTCATAGAGCGTGCCAACTTAAACTGCTTCGTCTCTGTGCAGAGTCCTATGTTGAAATTCGGTCACTCAGTCAGTCAGGCAGTCTTCTTTTTTATCAACTTCTCGATCTTCAGGTTGTTTGACTTGCCTTTATGTTGAACCCTGTCCTTGAACTCCACCTATTACAGTAGACACTGCTACCTTGTTGTTCCTCTTCCTACCAAATTTTGGTACTAGTGAAAGGATTTTTTTGTCGCAGTTATGTGGAAAATTTCGTTGGTGTTGATTGGAGAATTATACTCTTAACTACAAGACATTGTGTTTTGATTTTGTTTGTGTGCATTCTTAGTTTTTGGCCAAATAAAGCCTCTAAAAGTATTATTTTTCCAATGTCCAAGTAAAAGAAGCCTGTATCTTTGAAAGTTAACACTAATGATATCTAGAATTACAATAAAAAACTTCATAATTAAGTCGTTTTATACAGTCGGTTAGCCGTTTTTTCTTCTTCAAATCTTAGCTTTGAATCATTGAGAAATAAAAATACACTTATGATTTCTTCTTTTAGCTATCCGCTCAGATCGAACTCGTGGAGGACGTAGTATGTATCCTGGTTCGCGTTATTTACGTCAAATTGCAGCACGCGTTAGTGGTACTCGTTCCAATTCTGGCCTAGGTATATCTAATTCATCTATGGACTTTTCAGCTTCAGATATGGATGGAAACATGCTAGGTGGGCTAGCAGATCAAAGTTTAATGTCAGATGATGGAGATCAACTCTCATGTTCTGTTGTTGGCTTAGCTGCGCATAATCTAGGTCCTGATGGTTTACCAGCCTCGGAGGATGCTGGTGGCGGTGTATATCTAGATCCTGGTGTTCTTGGTACACATGATAATGATGATGAAGAAATAGACTCTGGAAGTTTACGTGTTGAACCGAGTATATTAGAATGTGGTAATGGGATTGTCGGTGGTGCAAATATTTCATCATCTGTTGTTTCACCATATAGACAGGTAATTGTAGGCGGGTCGAATGAATCAATACCACGAGTGAGAGAACAACTCCCAAAGGTAGGGTTGTTTTGTTTTACACTTATTTTTGTTGTTGTGCTGCACTATTGAAGTTGCTTTTTGTTAGAATCATTCGCTCCTCTGTACTAGTGATCCTGTCCACTTATTTATGTACTTGTAATTGTCATTTGTAACACTTAAATGTAGGCGATTGTATGGCATTACCCCTTTTCTGAAGTGGCGCCACCGTTATCCTGTGGGTATTAGGGCATTTCAGTATAAATAGACCAAAATATACCAGCTGGATTCCATGAAAATTCAATAATATAATGTAAAATTTTGGAACTTACTGCCTCCGTTAATCCATTACATTGCTCATTATCAAGTAACACTTTCTGATAAAAGTCCAACTAATGTAACACAATTCAAGAATATAATACCATGTAGAAAATATAATTTGTAAGTAAACCACCATAGCAATGGACGACGACGCTACAATTAACAGGGATATGTAGTAAAACCACTCTTTCAATGTAAGCGTAGAAATTATCAGTTAATTTTTTACAGTGAAACTCTGAATATATCAAATGACCTAGCTCACTGACTTTTAACTAAAATTACTCATGGTGTTCGGACGTTCCTATGCCTGTCGAAGTTTCAGGAAGTCAAAGCGAGATAGTATAATTTGCCTGTATCAGTTAGGTGTAGCTCATGACCATAGTAATTTGTTTGTTAGACGTATCGTTTATAACTACACAACTTCGAAACTTGACTCTTACAGTTCTCTGTATTCCTTCCCATCTGTCGTAGGGGTAGTAAAAATTTCCGGGTATCCGGGTGAAGTGTTGAGCCATTCCTGTTGCACGTGTTCTCAGTTGGTTTGATAAATAAAGCTTTCGTTATCAGTCTCCCTCTCCGCCCTGTTGTGTTGCATTTTAATACTGTCATCTTGTCCCACTACTAATGTATGTAGCAGTGCTTCAACACAACGAAGAAATCCCTGAAACCTTAAGTAGAATTTTTAACAAAGCAGGAATAAAAGTGGTATTTAAACCCCAAAAAATCCACTCAAAAAGAAATGATGTCGGTTAAACGATCCTGTGGAGGCCACTAAACAAAATAATTTAGTTTATCTACTAACCAGCAATGATTATTAGGGCAATTACACAGGTCAAAGTAGTAGAACAGGATTAATCAGACCAGGGGAACACAAAAACCTAGCAAAATCTAGCTTAGTTAACCCTAATAAGATAACAAAAATCTGGAAAATAAGTAGTTCAGCTATAGCAATGCATGTAATCACACACAACCATACAATAGTGCAGGGAAAGATTGATAACGAAAGCTTTATTTATTGAACCAACTGAAAAAACGTGAAACAGGAATAAAGAGAACTGTAAAAATCAAGTTTCGAAGTTGTATAGTTATAATTGACGAAATGATTATGAACAATAAATTGTTTTCGAAACATCACCTAGTAAGTAAATAATACTGTTTCACTGTGAGATATATCCGATAAACTAAATAATATGGAATTATGTATAGTACCATAGTGCCCACATATATTAACCCATGACCAACTGGTTACTAGAAAACATTCCATTTTCTTCTGGCAGTTTGCCTCGTGGAGATGTGACTTATTGGCTTAATTAGTCGGCTTTCAGTCAGCGGATCATAGGTTCGAATCTTGCCCCTTCTACATTAGCTTGAGCAGCTGATTGAGTGGTGTCATCAGCTGTCGCACATTAAGTGTGACTCCATACTCAGGAACATGAAAAACTTGTTCCGGGAACAGCCCAAACAATAGTTGGTAGTTTACTTCAGTATGGTTGCAATGTGGTTCATTAGCTTAAGCATCAGTCGATTGGTCACGGGTTCGAGTCCCGCTGCACCTACTTCAGCATGAGCAACTAATTAGGTAGTATCATTAGTCCTCACGCTATAAGTGCAGCTCTAGCCTGGTACTACATCTGTTCAACAGTGCGCACCCACAACACTTGACAACGGATCGAACCCGTGGCCATCAGGTTATGAGGCTAGGCTCGTTAACCATTCAGCCAACTGGGTTGGAATTCGATGATCCATGGATTCTGACTTTGTCAAATAGGGCTACATTCAATCAATACCTTCAATGATGAATGTGTAGCAGTTGAAATTAATTCAAAATCTTCACAATTATCATATAATCTGAATAAACTTTAAGGGGTAAATTTTTTAGCATATTGACCTTCTAAAGCGGTTTAACTTTTGAATGCGTGATATCTATATTTGACTCGGGAAGAAAAGAATTATATCAACTTTCCCCTTTAAAAATTGGAATAGAAAGGAGAATTAAAGTTCTTTTTTCACGAGGAATACTTGTACGTATTGAATAAAGTCAACATTTGAGTAGTCTTCAACATTCATAACGTGTGTATTTTATTTTTTTTATCATATACACTCTAGATTATTCGTGATATCCTCTTAGTAGAGGAGACTATAGAAGCGGAACCAGAGGATGCGTTGGAAATCGACGCTTCAGTTGGATCAGACACTCCAATACCTGAAGGTGTTTCAGAGGATGAAGCTGCTGTTTATCGTGCCCTATTAAATTTAGCAGATCAACGTTTGTATAGAACTGTACGTTGGTCTAGAGCTCTTCCAGATTTCTCCCTACTTGATACCGATGATCAGATACTTTTAATTCAAAATTGTTGGGCAGATTTACTATGTCTTGATTGTTGCTGGCGTTCATTACCTACTCCCACGGTGAGTTTTTAATTCTTTGCAAATGTTAATATTTAAAAATAGCACTTTTCGGTATTATTATTATTATTTCCTTGGGTTCCGAATGGAACTAGCGCTTCAACAGCACATCTCCACCTCACCCTGTTCTCTGCAGTCCTCTTCAAATGGATGTACAACTGCCCGTAAATTTTCATCTCCTCACACAATTGCCTCTATGTCATCCTCGGATGCCTTAATCATCGTTTCCCACTCGATTGATCACCGGGCGTGTAGTGTCACCCAATGGTCTCCTCAACGTGCATCCGATCCGTCTTCGTTGATTTGTTCCCAGAGTTTCTTGTTGCTGATTCTCTCCGGCTGGCTGGCTATCCGATCTTCAGTATTAGAGCTAGTGAAGGGGGCAGCTGTTGATAAAAGTCTGAATCAGCCTGTTGGGAATGCTTTTCTTGACTCACTAAGTTTCTGCCTGACTTAACATTTGTGTTGAAAATCCGAATTTTGTTCTTTATGCTGAGTTCAAAAGATTTCCACACTGACTTCAGAGTGATGATTTACCTTACCTTTCCGAGTCTTGTTTTCAAATCCTCATCCGTGCTCCTATCTGCAGTTGAAATGACGCTGTCTAGATACGTAAAGTGACCTCTTCCAAATTTCTCTTTTCGATAGTGATTGGTTGGTTGGTCATTTGATGTGTAATTTAATCTCAACAGAGACATTGACGACTTGGTTTGCATCTGACAAGTTATAGTGTAACGATAGAAGACAAGGGCCAGGCAACAGATCGTTTATTGAGGAAATCAAGGGATACTTATATATTTTTATGTACACTACTATTCGTTGATATTAGCAGAGAAACAGCGTCTTCTGATTGGTTGTTTTCTTGCTTAAAGTTAATCTGTCATCTCTTTGCGACCGTTGCTTTGAAGGTTAGACCATATATCTGCGAATCGTATCCGCCCACGCAAAAGTCGCTGTGATTGGTTGTTGAGTTCCTCAAAGTTAGGCTTTGTTCTTGTTTTTTTCTCATGACCAAGATTTGTGACGTAAATATTGACGTAAATTTCTGTCTACCAACTTTGGCTAGCAGACAGATCCCACCACAATACTACTTGCATCACTAGTGGAATGTTATTGTTTCTATTAAGGCACCCATAAAGCTGTGGTAGTGTCCACCACCCTTCACTTAAGTTTAAAAATTCAACAATTTTGGAAGGATAACTTGAATAGACTTTTCACATTTGGTCGTTAATATGTATGAAATCCCACTGGTGGCCTATAGTAAAAGTGGTAGATGATATTGATAATATTTCTGTCATGCCCCATTACTAAATAGTTTACCTCATTCAGCTGAACTATTATAGTATATAAGATCCTAGGATCTATAGCCATACAAAGTCGAAATAAGGCTTGTAATAAATAAACTGGAGAAATCCAGGAAAGGGCGTTGCATTTGTAAAATCTTCACCCTTTGACAGGTATGCCTATCAGCGTTAAAAACTTAACGTACTTCTTGAACTAGAGGCGACATTTGCCATTTCAATCAATAGCGGCTGATAACTGCCACCTTGACGTGGTGGTTTCGGGCTTGCCTACCTCAGTGACCTAACAAGCTACACCGGCTGGAACTTATGTTCCTTGAGGTCCTACCACGTTGTTTCAGTGGTGGTTAGATTAGAAGCGGTTACTATGGTGTATATGGACTCCAGAACCCAAACGGATCGACTGGTGCACGAACCTGTATTGATCACTGGAAACCATAGGAACATAGCTCCTGACGCTTCCTTGTGGATGAAACTCCAATTCAAAGGCTCGGGAGAATTATCGTCTAAGAGAAACCACCTGCTTTAGCCTAGACGCCTGCGTAATATCCCAGCCGTGGTACTAGTGCGGCGCCTTCTTGATGCCTATATCGTACCAGATTGTGTTTTAGATAAATAGAATAATAATAAAAACTTTCAATCAATAGGTGTTTTGGTTACGTTTGACTGAGGGGATCACCAAAGAAGTACATTACACTAATCAATAGCATCATACTCAGATCCAGTCAGTCGTGTAAGAGCTTATGGAGAGTTGTTGTTGTTGTATGAAGTAGTATTTAAACGCCAGTGGTTTACGTTGGAGGGACCTGTTCATGGATGTGGCTGTTTGATTTCAACGTTTTAGGAAATAACTTGTCACTAGAGGAGTGCCTCATTGATTCAGAGTATGCAAAAATATATATAATGCTTTTAAGGGAAGACATCGGTCAAGCACTAATTCTTCTCAACAACCCGGATAAGAAAAATCCATATTCGGTATGCAATTCTCTCCTGTCGAATGTAAGGTGACGCGGCAAGGTTAGTCTGCGGTGACTCCTAGTTTAAAGGTAGGTGAGATAGTTGTGAATATATTGACCACTTGATTTATTTGTTTCCATCTTCTAGACCCAGAAAATCCCTACCAACCTTCATTTTTAGTGATTCTGTCCGTCACACCAAAGTTTGTCTATCATAATATGATTAGGTTTCTCTTCTCTTACTGTGCGGTCATTTCTTCTACACTAAACCATCACTCATTCAGTCACTACTGCACATAAAACTGTCTTCTTTCAGTGTGCAATGTTAGTTGAAGCAAGGTTGGGTAAGAAAAAATTTATGTATAAGTGAATTTATGAAGTTATCGACTGTTCTATGGATGGCGAGTATCCTCGGTAGTGTCATGAATCACAGGTATATTCACTTTCCACAATTGGCGAACTTGTTAATTATATATCTCCTTCTCCTCTCATTTTGATATAACCCTACTTTTGTTAGCTACTTGATGGTCTGCTCTTATTGGTGTTGCAGTGCGTCAGGTCCTGCCACACCTTGCCTTCTGTCGTTTACTTTATGCATATGTCTGCGTTCTATCTCCCTTGTTAGGTGATGGTATAATAGGGTGAGTAATATTGAAGTTAGGCTTCAAGTATTAGGTAAGGATGGGAAGTGAATCGATGAGGCCAGGACATGTATTACGCACGCCAAGCCATCGCCATCCTCGACAGGTGATGTCAGCTGACATAGATCAGGTTAGAAAGGAGCTAGTGGTGATCAAACTAAAACATGGCTTCATCAGTCAATGAAATCCTTTACAGTCAGTTTGAGCCAGCCACGTGGAGGGGTGTAGACTTCCTGACTGGTTGGGGTCTTTGGAATGGTAAGAACCAATGAAGTCTGGAGATAATTGGTGATAGGACTCAAAATCGTTCTCAATGGCTGGCTCAGATACATTCACTGTTTTGTGATTTATCATATCCAATAAAACTCTTTTGTTCCTCCATATTACTATTCTTTTCCTTCACTCACACTTCTCTTTATTATCTCTCTACTGAATCTCTCTTTACTCTCTTCTCTTGCTTTTTGTACTATAAGGAGGGAATGTGGCTACTCAAACTGCTGCACGTCTGTGCCAAGTTCTATGTTGGAACTAGTCAATCAGTCACATTATGCATGCATAAATTACCTGAAATTGTGTATGGTTTAATTATAAACTTTAAAAATATTCTATTCACATTGTAATCTATTTACATATGTATGCTAACATTGTTTTGCCTATTCAAAGTCAATTTATGTATGTAAATTTTTTAAATCTTATTTAGGAAATTCGTCTTACATCAAGTAAATGTATCAATCTTGAGGCAGCACGTGAAATGGGTGCAGAAGAAATAGTCGAAAGAATTTTACAACTAACACAATCCTTAACAAGATTACAATTGGATGTTGTAGAATATGCTTGTTTGAAAGTTATTGTTCTTATGCAAGCCGGTGAGTTCTGTCATTTCATCACTTTCATGGTTTTCGATTGCCCTTATTATGATAAACTGTCTAGTTCAATTTTGTAAATTTTCCCGTCGATTGAATTAAATAATTAATATGACCCGTTGCACAAGAGGTGGCTCTCATGGCCCAAGTTGTCTAGTGGATAACGCTTTGTCGTTTGAAACTATGGGCACTGGGTTCAAACCCCGGTGGGAACATCATCACTCACTGGGGGATGCAGGTACATCCAGCCGATGAGTCCTAAATAGGAGGAAGTGTGCATCCTGGATTCCTCTGCTAGTCACCATCCACCAATTAACTTATAAATTGTCTAGATTTAGAAATGTATTTCTAAGGTCTTCAGCTGTCATTTCATTTGCTAAATATTTGCCTTATCTATCGATATTATAATTATTCCCTTGGGTTCTGAGGGCTTCAACAGGACATTTCTATTTCACATCCTGTCGCCCCTTGGCTCCAAGATTATCCATAAGTTTTCATCTCCTCTGTGTCACCCTCGGATATCCAACTTACATTTCCCATTCGGGTTCCACTCGAGGGACTGTCTGGCCCGCGATGCCACTCAACGATCTCTTTGGTGTGCATGTCTGATCCGTCTCTGACATATTTTTCGGGCAACAGGTTCTTGGTTGGATGGTTGGTTGCGCTGCAGAGTCCCCTGTTGCTTATGCTTTGTGACCATCTGGTCCTCGATAAGGAACAAAGGCAGCTGTTAATAAAAGTCTGCAGTAGCATTTATAACAAATGCTTTTGGTGACGCATGATGCAAGTTTCTGAACTGTATTGAAGCACTGACTAGATTGGCATTAGTGTTGGAAATCCGAATCTTGTTCCTCGTACTGATTGTAGAATAACCAGTTTTATTTTGTAACTTCGGGCACTGTAAATTACTGTTTCTTACCCCTATTTCCTCAAAATAGGCAGTTTGCCCATATTTTGTTTTTGTTTTTGATAACAGCTTGATTCCACACCGTATTTTTTGGTACATGTATGGAATTTTTAGCATGTGATATCGGTAGCCCAAATTTTGCAGGCCGACCATAGATATCAGGTGTGCGTCGACAGGGGATCGAACCCCGGACCATGTGCATGATCGGCGAAAGTCATAACCGCTGTGCCACCGACGCTTATCGTTTGTTTTGTTTGAAGCAAACTACCTTGGACAGGTATTTCATTTATCAGGCTGTAGGCCACAGTTAGTATGTTGAGGCTGATGATATACTATTCAGTTGCCCAGGTTGAAGTAGGTGAAATAGGATTCGAGCCCGAGACCTTCAGGCTGTGCTTAAACCGATCAGCCAACTTACTGTTAGCTTACAAATGATTCATTCACTATAAAACTATATTTAATAGTTCATGGATGTGAAATTTGTTTTTATCTGAGCATAAATTTACTAGTATGAAATCAGCTTGTAGTTGTTTACATTCATAGACTGAATGTTATTTCATTACCATAAGACCTCTGCAGGCCAATACTTGAAAATTAATCTAGTGACCTACTACAGTCCTGGTGAGAAGTCTTGATCAACAATGACATTGGATGGCTATATCGCTATAATTTGCGAACCGACAGAAGTTAGAATTCATGAGCCATTGTATACGCCTCCCCAGTGGCTGGGTGTAGCCAACGAGTTCGCCTTGTAACCTGAAAGTCCTGGTTTCGGTCCCTGAGGGGTTCATGGGGCGGAGTGATGAAGATTCAGCAACTAGGACGAAGCGACTATCTAGTCCTCTGCGGTTTTCACTGGTTCTCTAACTGAAGTCAATTTGTGATCAAAACTGCAATAAAAGATAACATTCGTTTTCTTGTTGGTGTTATACTGTGATTCAGTGCCACATCTGTCTCAACTAACGTTGTCATCGTCAAGATATAATCAGCAAATTGAGTTAAAATGCAAATGAGTTTTATGTTATAGTGTGATAAGTACCAACAATGACACTTTGTACACTACATTCCCTAACTGATTTCTTCTTTGGGTATCTAAAACAGAAAGAGAGACAGAGAGCATTAGTGTTTCATGACAGCAGAGCCCAAGGGACAACTTTTACTTTACTTTACTTCGGCTATCTCCTACGGAAGGATGAGCCGGCTTCATGAACATCTCGAATCATCGCTGCCCAGGCGCGGCGATCTGATGCAAGGTTTTGCGACAAGGTAAGAGAGTTCATGAAGTTTCATGGGAATTTGGTACGAGTGATGTCCCCAGAATCGCTCGGCCTTTTGTTTGAGAGTGCAGCTCTAGCCTTTACACAACCAAGTGTGACCTACAAGGCAGTAGGAGTGGAGTAGGGAGTCCACTATCTATTGGCAGCCGGTGACCAAAGTTCGGTTCATACGCCTTTTTGAATGGGGCCAGACATCCAGGACATCCAACAAGCCCTTTGTCCATACGTCTGCCGGTGAGCTCCAGTGAGCTTCATACGCCAGTCGTTGGAGGTTTGGAATCAGGGTTTAGCCATCTCCCCTAGACTGTCATCCAATGGACAGTCAACCCGGTGAAGAGCGCCGGGCATCCGCTTTCGCCCTCTCACTTTGGTAAAAAACACCTCCGCCACGTGAAGGCAGTGAGTAGGACTTCCTCAGGAGAGGCTATGTAAGACGCCCGGTCATATGGGAGCATTTCAAGAGGTGTGCGGAGGGGTGGCCAACCCACAGCGCAAGGCACCCACCCCCAACCATCCTGAGGCTTTGGAGGCAACTGCTTGAAGCCAGTTATACACAGTCTATTTGAACTGTGTTTTGAAGTTGTATCCTCACTAAGATTTTACCTTCGGCTTCAAACCATCTCAAGGTAAGGTCGGATATACGATTCTTTGGGTTCAACCTTTTCTGACCCCACCTTCCCAGAGTAGAGAGACAGCCTAGCTGGTTTTCTGGTGGTCATCCATGGGAAACACCTTAATGCTGTTACATCCTTATTCGTGAGTGGTATGACTTTGCCCACAGACCCCCCAACATAATGTGAGCGACGTAAGCTATGTTGGTAACTAGTTTTAATGTAACCTTTCTGGGATGGTAGGATCTCCACCCAGTGTAGCTCGTTGGATCGCTGTGATGTGCAAACCCGACCACCACCACGTCACGGTACCAGCTGTCAGTTAAGATGGTAAGTTGTACACATTACTCACGTTCTACTTGGCTTCTCGACTCAGACTCGGCTGCTATTCAATTTTTCTATTTGAGGACTATCTGCGTTATGTAGACGTTGCTCACTCAACGATATGTGTATGTATATGTGTACTATTTTACGGCCAGTAACCGTATTTAACATCTGTGTATCGTTGTAGAACAGATTGCTGAATATTTTAGTTTCTAGTTGGCATTGTTAATGGTGTGATGTCGCTATACCACGAACTGATAGGAGTTAGTACTCATGGGTGAGAATAGATTCCAACCCAGTCGGTGACTGAGTCAAGAACAGGCCGGTCTAACGATCTGAAGGTACTGAGTTTGACTCTTGATAGGTTCATAGGTGCACACTCCCAAAATAAGTTGAAACAGCTGTCCATTGCTGCTTGGTTTTCAATAATGTTGATTTGAGACGAGATCTGCATTGAAATTAGTCGAAATCCCTATAGAACCTCGAATTCTTCTGAGTACTCATTTCCTCTTGAATTTTCACTTCTGTGTATTAGTTTCAGGGTGGATTCAGTTTGCGAACTGACATTATTTAGGGAACCATCGAAAGCCAGCAGTTAATGCACAGCTATTTCTTTCTAGTTTAAGATTTTTCTCTGTTCCCAGCTTTTCAGTGGTCCTTCAAGGGATACCTATCTCTGTGACGAAATTCACTTTAAAATCAATTAAATCTCCAGGAAAATGGCAACAATTGAGGATTACTTATTAGAGCGTTTACTTTTCCACTCCAATTTTCTGATTATTTAGGATTGGGGGATTGCTGTCAGCATGACAGTAAATACAATGCATATATACTATATATCCATTGTAGTCCTACAGTAGGTCACTCACGAGCCCCAACAGCTCAGTTGTAACGTCTCTGACTGCACCTGTGGGTGGGTGACACGGGTCCGAGTCTCAGAAGGGACCCGAATTTCTTCAAGATTGCAGATTGGCCTTGCTGACTTGATTGGTGAATGCCGAGAAGCATAAAACCTAGGTGTCTTTGATCATAGGTGTCTGCGTTCTATCTCCCATTTGAAGTGGTATAATAAGGTGAGCAATATTGAGGTTAGGCATCGGTCGAGTGCTAGGTAAGGAGGGGAAATCAATCGACGAGGCTGTGAAATTACATCGACTGAGATGGTTAGGATATGTGTTACGTATGCCTAGTCATCGCCTTCCTCGCTGACGGGCAATGTTAGCTGATATAGGGTCAGGCTGGAAAAGAGCTAGCGACGGTCAAACCAAAACATGGCACCAGTCAATGAAATCTACAACAGTTAGTCTAAGCCACTTAGGAAGGTGTAGACTTCCTGGTCCTCGGGACGGTAAAAACCACTGGTTGGAAACAATAAGTGACATGGCTCAAAATCGTTCTCAATTGCGCAGATGCATCCACTCCTTGTGACTTATGATTTCCAACGAAACTGTTTTGTTCTCCGTTATTACTATACCTTTGTCTTACACCTCTGTTTACTGTCTTTATTATGCATTTCTCCTCTTGCTTTGTGTGCTACATGGAGTGTGGCGACTTGAACTGCCGCACTTATGTGCAAAGTTCTATGTCGAAAACAGAGAGACAGACAGACAAACCTAGGTGGAAGGCTTCTTTCCGATCGCCTCCAACCATCTAATAACAAAAATTCAGAATGCAGCGTGATGAGGAGCCACCTAACCTGGTGGCCACATTGCGAATCTCACTGATGGAATGCAGTCTTCAGCAAACAAAGGACTATAGACGCATGACACTAATTTCATACAGCCGATTCCGCTCATCAGTTTGAATAAAGAAAAAAAGGAATATATTTGCAGGATAATACGAGCTCGTTTCATTTAGTGGGTTCTCTTCAACTGCATACATCCTAAATAAATCAATTATAATATATTAAAAAATTTCTGAACATACCTTTTACAATGATTTCAGCTTATAAATAGAAAGTATAAGCAACATAATTTCAAAGATGATGTAATTAGACAATTACTTAGCGTTAAAAGAGTAGCTATTTGTATGGTAATTAGACAAGGGGGTGGAATTCCGATTTCTGTTGGCAACAACAGTGGACAAGAGACAAAATACAAGATAGAACAACAGAGTTAATTTACACGTATTATGGTGCAGATTTCAGGAGGGTGGTAGTGGGATGAATAATTAAATAAAATTATAAAATAGATAAAATAATCTAATTTAGTGGATTTGGAACCTTAATAATAGTGGGTTCAACTGAGTGGGTGAAAATCAAAATCAACATTGAGTGGAATGTTATGCAACAGAACAAAACACAAAAGCATACGAACAAAACAATTATGGTTATCAGGTTAGTGAGAGATTAGTCACACTATCTTTCTGTGTGCATAGGTTGGGTTGAAGTCTTTTAATGGTAATGGCTTCTGCAAAACGAAGTAAGCATGCTTTTCTTTGTGTATTGATTATTTTGAAGGCCTAACTAATTTCCACTGTATGTCTCGTGTCATTAAGGTGTCTGGCAATTGTGCTTGAGAACACTTTGCTGCCTTTCATACGGGCAGACTTTTAGGGATATTCTCGGAGAATCTGATAGACGCTCTCCTCTCAGTCCGTCCTATGTACTTGCTGCCGCAAGTGCCGGTGAATTAGTAAATGCAGTTGGATACATGACACTAGTTACTGCTACCTAGTGTCCAATCAAAACAACGGACGCTTAATGCCTCAATTCTACCTAGTCAGTCACCGAATTGTATTCTATGTCAAAAATTATTATTGGCTACAGGATTTCATCATGAACTGATATCGGTTAGAGAACCATTGGAAAACCAGCAGGAAGTACTGGACAGCTGTTTCGTCAGTCTAGTTTGGGACTCTTCATCAGCACACACTCACCGGGGTTCGTACCCAGGACCTGGTTACAAGAATAGTGGGCTCGTAGACCATTAAGCCACAGGGACCGAACCCAATGGCTAGCCCATGAATTCTAACTTCTGCCAATTCACGACATAGCGCGACCACTAACCAATGTCATTGGTCACGACTTCCCACTAGAACTCCAGATAACTACCTACCTGAATAGGGCCGGTCGCTAGTGAGCATCTCATTGATTATTATTATTATTATTATTGTATTCATTATTGAATATTTGTTATATTTTGCATAATTTTTGTTTTAGATTTGAGTAATTTGAAAGCCAGTGCTCAAGTACGATCTTATCAAGAATGTGTACGTGAACTATTAATGGATTATGTTGCAAAATCATCACCTGATATAAATGATAAATTCAATAAACTGATTAATCGTATCCCTGAGTTACACAAAACAAGTCAAGCTGCTCGTTCAATGCTTGCTGACTTAGACCTGTCCGCTTATCTATCAAGTAATTCACTGTTAATGGAACTTTTACGCAGTGATATACAACGGTATACACCGAATCATGGAAATGGTAATGATAACAATAATAATAATAATTCGTCCGATTCACCAACTACGACTACTGCAGCCAGCTTACAAGGATCAACTACAAATCTGTCTGGAAAGACAGTTTCAGTCACTTTAGGATCTGATTCAACCGAAGATGATCGAAAAGATCCCAGCTTGATTCAATCACCTGTTGTCAGTGATTTATTATCCATGCCTAACACTACTACTAATAATAATAATACTTTTATGAATAATAACACTAATAGTAATAATAATGTGACAACAATAACAGAGAGTAGACTTAGTGAGACAATCAATAATTGTTCTAAATAGATCACTTTTTATACACATATATATATAGACACATACCTACATATATTATATACATATTACTATTATTATCATTATCATTGTCATTATAACTATTATTGTACTTGGGTGCATATTGTGTATGTGTTTTCTATTGCTGCGCCACATCTGTATAAATATAACATTTAATACTACTCCGCCTTTGAGTAGTACCATTACACCAGCAGCAGCAGCGACAACAACAACAATCCGAACTCCAACAGCAATAGAACTTACTGTGGTGTGAGTTCGAGAACTATCATAAACTGTCCTTATTATTATTGTTATTTTTCATGTAAATACTCTTCTCATTTTTAAGAAAATATTATATGATACTTGCAAAATAGATGGAAATTACTGATATATATATATATATATATATATATATATATATGGACATTATAGTTTTCCTGTTCAAAGGCTTATCAACTAATATTTTCTTCTCATTCCCTCCCCTTTTTTTAATTTCTTTTGAATGTCATACATAAATGTATCTATTTATGTACATCTAAGCGTATTTCATATCTATGTGTGTGTGTGTGTATGTATAACAACAAAGATTGTTTTTTATTTCTTATTTGTTTATTTCTAAAATGAAATGAAGCAAATATTATCACTTTCATACTTTTATTGTACTCACTCACTCCCGGTTATGTATGTATTTGTCTCTATCTATCTATCTATCTCCTTTTGCCTCTCTCTATAGATGTATGGAAGGTGTGTTGTACATATTGTACTGCTACTACTAATGGTCATTTAAGTAGTTTAGCTAATGTTGTCTTCATTTTATTTTTCTTATTATTTATTTCTTTTTTTATTTATTTATTTCTATATGTATATCGTTTAGAAAATAATACGCCAACAATCATCAATCTCATTTCTCTTCTTTTAGTACTTACTCACTAATATTTTCGCACTGTCTGCCTCTGTCACATACACATATAGACTCATACATAGAGACAAAGTCACAGTTAAATCTATATATATACTCTTATTGTATGTTGTTTTAGACAACAGTTTATGTAATATACTGAAGAAAGCCAACCAACAAACAAACAGACAGATGGAGTGTTGTCATAAGTTTGTTATTGTTGGTGGTGCTGTTTCTCATCTGAAATGCCAATAGGAGGGGGGAGAAGCAGCAACAGATTGATTAGTTTTTCTTTTCTTTCTTTCTGTGTGTTTTCATTCTCTCTTTTTTTTCTTTCTTTATTTCTTTTGATACCTTTACATTAGAAATTTGTTGGTATTTTTTACTGGAAAGATTATTTAACTATATTATTATTATTACTATTATCACTAAATGCATGTCTCATTTATTATTAATACTATTATTATTATTATTGTTATTTTGATTATTATGTCTGCTGTGGTTTCTCCTTATTGCGGGGGAGTGGTGCAGGTATAAACAGGAGTGTGGGGGGATTTTCGTGTATTGGGAGTTGATCATCTTGTGGGTTGAATGTCACCATATGCATGTATGGTATGTGTGGACTTATGATGCTAATCTATTTTTTCTAGGCTTAGTGGGGAAAATATGCTTGCATTGGTTTAAATATGCATATATGGACTTTCAGCTACTAGGCCATCGGTTCGAATCCCGTTCCATTTAATTTTAGCTTGGGTAACTGAGTAGTATCAGTAAACTTTAAACCTCATGCAACAGCTGGTTATATGACAATGTCACGTGTCAAGTGATCCACAATGGAAAACTGAGCGAGGCGTTCGAAGTGCATACGGGAATAAGACAAGGCTGCTTGCCTAGTATCTCCGACGATATTCTTAATTGTTGTGGACTGGACGGGGAGGAGTCAGGAACACGCTGGGCGACCGATAAGAAGATCTGGATTTCTCGCCCAGATGTTATATGTCTAATGCCACACACACACTCGAAGACTTGCAAGCGAAAACCAACAAACTGGTTGAAGAGGCAGCAAAAACAGGACTCCAGGTGAACACAGAGAAGACGGAGGTGATGAAGATAACCAATCAACAGCAACAACAACCAGCACCAATCACCATCAACGGGAGAGATTTAACAGAGGTTGCCTCCTTCACTTATCTGGCTAGAAAGCATCGTTTCAACTACAGGCGGATGGTATGTATGAGCATATGAAAGCTAGTCAGAATCAGAAAGGCAAGATACGCCTTCATCAACCTGAAACCAGCTTGAAATCTTCTGCACTCAGCATAAGGATTAGGATTCGCATTTTAAGCACCAATGTGAAGTCGGTCAGTTCTCCTATACGGGTCAGAAACTTGACCGGTATGTCACGAAAAGGATTTCCAACAGGTTGCAAACTTTCATCAACAAGTGCCTTCGCTCCATTCTGAAGATCAAATGGCCAGAAAGAATAAACAACAATAAACTCTGGCTAGGAACAAACCAACCAAGAGCCGATCGCTCAACAAATATGTAGGAGAAAGTGGAGATGGATCGGGCATACATTGAGGAGGCCGTTCAATGACATCGCTCGAGTGGAATCCAAGCGGGAAGCGACGATGACATGGAAGAGATCGTGTGAGGAAGAGATGAGGGAGTTCGGTCAATTGTGGACCCAGCTGAAGAGGATGTCGGAAATCAGAACAAAGTGGAGATGTGTTTTTGAAACGCTATGTTCCACTTGGAACGCAAGGGAATAATGATGAGTAAACTGTAAACATTCGGCGTAGCCTGGTTTTAAAGCTTAACTTTTTTTAAATATTATTCGTATTTACTTGAGCAGACTGCTTGAATCACTGGGCTACCTTACTGCCTGAATTTCCATCTAACTTAATGCTTCATATATTCTTTGTAATTCCTCATTGTTTTAACTATTCAATTTTGTCATAGAATCGCAACATGTACTCACGTACATTTTGAATTGGCTTGTAAGATGCTGGTTGTACTTAAGGTAGACATTAATTAACCGCACTTACTAAAGACTTCTCCTCTTAATACCCTAATCAATACTCTACCCAGCGTGTAAGTACCGATTAACGAACTCGAAGTAAAAAGGCTTGTGACTTGGTAGTGTGACCTGATGAGAATTATATTTTTACCACAGATTAAATGTCAAATTTAATGCACCAGAATGTTGTACAACTTATCTGTTAACTGGCTGAGGTAGCAGGCTCGAAGAGTACGCTTAATGATAGCACAACGAGGGAACGAGCCAAGTGCGAGTAGTTACGCCGGAAAAACAAATATAATATGGTGCCATATTACATGAATGCGTTAAAACAAAAGTTCAAACATTCAAGGCGCACTACAGGCTTACAAACTACCAGTGCACATTTCTCAAAGACGAAGAAGAAATGTCAAGGGATTATAGTCTATGCTTCAGATCGAACCAACATTACGTCACAACTTGGTAGTCTACAGATTTCAATTTTAATTGAACATCCCGAATGAAGAGAAAATATTATTCACTAAATTGTGATGATATTCCTGCACAGTGTGTAAGCATTTAGTTCAGAAGAAAGCTATTATTATTATATCTCGATATTGGCTCAATTTCTAGCTTCAGACAAAGTTTTATGATGGTGACTGGTGGCAGTGGAGTACAGAAAGTGTGCTTTATTCAACATGAGTTAGTGATTGTGTTTGTGTTCCCACAGATACTCAAATATACAACACCAGTCGTTATAAAAACCTGCGTGCTATCTACTAGGCTATTTGACTCATGAGAACCATTTCTTGCGGAATTGAAAATACCGGATTCAGTGGTTAGAAGTCAGTTGAATATCTTTTATCAGTTCATGCTACTATAGAGTTATATGTAATTGATTAAAAACGCCCATTAAAATTTTCGAAAGAATGGACACGGAACAAAGAGTACTCTTTTCGATAAATTCATCATCAGGTTCTACAATTATATATACATTATAATGAATGAATGAATTAGTCTTATGAACGACATTAATGTTTAAATAACATCAAATCAATAATATTGATAAATTACAGCTCAACAGTATCAACATAAAATAAACTGAATGTCAGAAGAATTAGGATAGGTAATAGTACAAATTCATGAGTTTATGGTTTCTACTGAAGGCCAGGGTAGTAGTAGGGGCTGGACTTGCTTCTTTTGAACACAGAGCACTGGTTGTTTGAGGCGAATTGCAATAGCCTCTGCTGTTTAGAGCATGCAGTGCTTCGACGATTTTAGTAATTTGTTAGGCACCCGGTATATTATAGAGAAGGATTCTTCCACACTTGCTTTGCGGCCGGTTTGCACCAGATGGTCTAATATCGAGTTGTTAGTAGTTTTAACTACATCTTTACTTAGCCATAGTGGGATATGTTCTCGAGCACGAAAAATCAAGTTCCTAGAGCAACGGCCAAGTTTGTTTTATCACGCCACATTCATGTATGTATGTTAAATATCAGACTACCATTTCGTGGAAAGTTTTAGCGCAATATGCTGATTAACCTATAAAGTCAGTTGGTTATTGAGTTCATCTTTTCAGACCTAGTGAACTGTCGAATATTCACAAAGAAAATAATGTATGGAATCAGGTTAATACAAATTTTATAGTTGTGTATATATCCAAGTCGCAAGTTCATACAAAGCACATTTTATTAGGCTAATATATTCCAAAATCTCGCCTAGTTAACTATCTCGCTAGTTTTCTAGCCGGCCTACAAGCCCGGGTAAAGAGGGAGGGTTTGGCGTGGAGATAACAACCTAACACCACTAAATCTTTCAAACAGCTAGAGAAACTTCAACACACAGAGAATATATTGTAGATACAAAAACTTCAAAATAAAAATCCTATCTTCGCTCGAATAGGAGACGGACGAAATGACGTTGGCTGGTGAAAACCTTCGGGAAGCCAGTAAGCCAGGCGATGTGTCTTCTCTCGATGAAAGCAAGAGTAAGAATGGGTGCGTGGAATGTCCGTACAATGTACAAGACTGGGAAGGCTGTCCAAGTAGCCAACGAAATATGAAGACATTGCATAGAAGTTCTGGGTATCTGCGAAAGCAGATGGAACGGATGTAGATTATCCAAACTGCCAACTGGAGAGTCAATTATATACTCCGGTTACCCAGACGACAACCACGAACACACTGGGCCAGTGAGTGGCTATGGTGATGTCAGCAGTGGCAGCCAAATCCCTAATGCAGTGGGAACCAATTTCATCCAGGATCGTGACAGCAAGATTCAACTCCAAAGGAAGGAAGGTAAAAATTATCATGCAATGCGACGCACCTAGAAACAACGCGGAACAAGAAAAGTAGGAGGATTGTTACAGACAACTACAAACAGTAATGGACGGCATCCAAAATGGTGACATCAAAATCCTTATGGGCGATATGAATGCCATCTGAACTGGGAGCAGATAATACAGGAAGAGAACTAATCACGGGCTGAGAGGCTCTCTGAGAAATGAATGAGAACGGAGAATTATTCGCAGATTTCTGCTCTTTAAACGATTTGGTGGTCGGATGGAGCGTGTACAAACACAAGGACATACACAAGTCCAGCGATATGGATTTCGCCTGACGGACAGATTTCATATCAATCCTACTGAAGGAAGTAGAGATTCAGCCCTCTGGATACAAAGTCGAGTAGGGGAGCAGATGTGGGCTCAGACCATCACCTATTCCAGGGAACCTTCAGGGTGAAACTGAAATCCATGAAAACAAATGGAGATAAACCACAATTCAAGTTCAAAATTCAGAAACTGAAGGACAAAACCACTTTCATCCAGGGAAAGGACAGGGAACAAACCAACAAGCAAGAGCCCATCGCTCAACAAATATGTAGGAGAAAATGAAAATGGATCGGGCACACATTGAGGAGGCCATCGAATGACATCGCACGCCAGGCCCTCGAATGGAATCCAAATGGGAAACGACGAGTGGGTCGTTGGTACGAGGGTGACATGGAAGAGATCGTTTGAGGAAGAAATTAGAGAGTTTGGTCAATCGTGGACCCAGCTGAAGAGGACGTCAGAAAACAGAACGAAGTGGAGATGTGTTGCTGAAGTCTTATGTTCCACTCGGAACGCAAGGGATTAATAATATAATGTATTCTAAAGTCACTTAGTAGGGATTTGATTTGTTTCAAGTTTGAACACCTATTGATGTCAGTTAGAGAATCATTGAAAACCACTAGGGAGGAGTACTGGGCAGGTGTTTCGTCCTAATTTGGCGCTCTTCATCAATACGACCCCATCTCTGGAGACCAAACCCAGGACCTTCACGTTAGGAAGTCTAGCTCGCTGACCATTCAGCCCATACATTCTAGCGATTTTAGTGCCACCTTCAGCCAGTGTCGTCGGTGAGTGTTTGTTCTCAAAACCGACTGGGTACAACCTACCAGTCATGACTTCTCATTAGGACTCCAGGCAACTTCGTTCTGTAACCAGTCACTAGTGAACATCAGTTTAATTTTCAAGAGTTAGTTTGTAAGGATTTGGTTTGCTTTGAAGTCCGGTCACGGATATATTCTAGTTGGTTTCGAGGACATTTTATAGCTGCTTATCTAAATGCGTGAGTGTGCAAGTGGATAGA